ACCAGCCCTGAAATTCTTCACAGATGCTACGAATCATCTAAAACTTTTTGAATCTAATCACTTGAAAGCATGCTATTAAAAGTACACAGCTTTTATTTTGAAATACTTGTGCTTTTGAGTTCTTCTTAGATCTGTGTTTATCTTTGCAGACGGATGGGCTTATTTGTCCGTTTATGCTAGATTGTTATTACTAGCATAATCTGAACTCTCTTTTATCAACAACCGTCATTTGCTACTTGCATTTCAGAAGATATGGCAAATTGAGGCTAGTAAGGTGTAACTGTTATTTAAAATGTGATAGATAATGTACTGGACCTATTTGAGATTGAAAAGGTTGAATGTTTATATAACCGTCTGATAGGAGCATTTTGCTAATGATGACACTGTGTATATGTTCTCATGCTATCGCCACTGTAAATAGACCAAACGTCTTTTCTCAGGGTTAGTTTAACTGGCCCGGCTGTTTTATTTAAAGGTGACTCACTGGCGTGTGACCGATGCTTTTGTGATGTTGTCCAAGGGTGTGTGTTTGTTATGTGAATGCCCATGAGTCTGAGTTCATGTGTATGTGTGTGTTTGCAGGGCAACCAAATCACAGCCTGAAAGTCAATGTTAAACCTTGGGTGGAGAAACACCTTGAGAAGATGGATATCAATGTTTGAGGTGACGTCAATTTCGAGGTTGCACAATAAGTTTTGCTGTGCATAGTTTATGAGATTTGAAAATTGAGTCTTCATAACTGCACAAATTAAATCGTCATGTTAAATCAAGGTATACCAAAACAATACTCTGTGTACTGTGACTAAAGGCCCACTTAAGTCACACCAAGGACGATATCAACGTTTATTAATCGTTCTAGGCTAATTCTATGAGAATAGTTAAATCCACACCACAACTTTAACGATAACAACAAAGAGAAACAATACCCTTGGAATTACTTTTGCTGATAATGATGAAAACATTGACAGCCAATCAGAATCCATCCTGTTTTAAAGAGCTTAAACAATAAAGACATAATGTAACACTTAAACAGAATCTTATTCGTTGGTGTGGATGTTATTATAGTTATCGTTATAGTTCATTTTCTTGGTGTGAACGGGTCTTAACCATAGTAACCGTAGTTAGAAGCTCATTTGTCGATAAACATCTTTTTTGGGTAAGATTAGTAAACTAATTAACACCCCTCGCACACCTGGGTGACCATGGGAAGGTGCGTACAACAGTCAACAATGGAAAACTGGAATTATCATAGCAAATTTGGGGATTTTTTTAATAGGAAAACATCCTAAGAGTTTACTTTTAATGACTAAATTATACTTTAATTTAAATAAGTTTAATCTACTATTTGATATATTCAATGGGCTGTGTTTATATCTATTCAACATTTGACCATAAAAGTCACTTTCTTAGCGTTTGAATATGTCCATCATTCCTGATAATCACCCACCGTCTAAAGATTTATAGCTTGATTGATTTCCATCACTATTTTCCCCTCTCGCTGCATGACTGAACTTTCAAACACCTCGCTGACAAATCGCGGAGCAGAGTAAACTGTATACGGAGGTCCGATACGGCTCCTTATGGAACAGAAAACAGCTTTGTCATTCAGTGCGAACATGCAGAGACCTCATGAACCTAATGAACAGCGCTGCCTGGAAACCTCCCACGCGCGCTGGCAAAGAGCCGTCGTGCTGCTCCACTGTTTTCTTGAGGAAACGTTAAAAGGTGGCTAAATTAATATTTACACAAAAGTGGCACATAGGGATTTAATTTCCATATTAGAAGCGGGAAAACACTGGCGATTCATTTATACAACCAACAACTAGATTTTTAGTAATACTTGTTTATGTTGAACTCGTGCTATTGCTAGGGGAATGCTAGACGTGTTCAGAGAGGTTTTAGCATGTTGCTAGGTGATTTCTAGGTGTGTAGGGTTGCTAATGTGTTGCTATGAGGTTTCTAATGTGTTCTGAAAGGTGTTTGTTGCTCTGGTGTTCTGGGTGGTTTAGGCAAAGATAGACTTTGTAGCCATATAAGTAGACCTAGAGATGCTTACGTTCAGACACGTCGGCGCACCCGCCATCTTGGGACGCTGTGTCGTCACTCACAGTAAGAATGTTACCACAACATTAAAGCTTCTGATTGTGAAACCAATGAGATTTAAATTCATAATACAATCGTAAACACGACTAGGTGTGGAGGTTTACCGGGGTTAAGTTCCTATAATGTGTCCAGAGATGGTTTTTAAAGTGTTGCTAAGGTTGGTAAACTGTTCTGAGAGGGCTTTTTTCATGTTGTTAGGTGATTTTTATGCATGAAAGTTTGTGAATGTGTTGCTATTAAGTTTATGAAGTGTTCCGATAGGTTTTTAATCATGTGGCTATGTGGTTGCTACTGGTGGTTTCTAGGTATGGATGCTTTTTTTAATGTATTGCTATGAGGTTGCTATTGTTCTATGGTTTTCAAATTTTTAATTTTTGAAGAGACACGTTTATGCTTCTGCTTTTACATTCTTGGTTTATGTTCCAAAAGTATCAGGCCTCTCTCTCTCTCTCTCTCTCTCTCTCTCTCTCTCTCTCTCTCTCTCTCTCTCTCTCTCTCTCTCTCTCTCTCTCTCACACTGTCTGTGTGTTTAGATAAGTGTCTGTATGCATTTCCTGTTTTTTTGGTTGTTAAACGTTTTTTGGTTGTTAAAGGGCTAAAAGACAATACCTGAGGTGAAGATATGGAAACCTGACTTGTAGAGCGTGACTGTAGACACTATTAGCCTACTGACACGTCTGCAATCACACACACACTCACACAATGAGAAAGGTATTAGAAAGAAAATAAATCAAATTTGGGGAAAGCAGGCCTGAGGCACATCCTATCTGCTTACCTGAACTCATAGATATACACTAGATGTCGCCTTGGCTACGGCAGTTCATTGCAAAGAATGCGTCAATAGAGCCGCCATCATGGAACAGGCGAGCCCCTCCTCTTTAATGAATAATAAATGTAGGCAAAGGTCCTACGGAAATAAAATCAGCATAAATCGTCATGAATGCGATTTTCTAGTTTTTTGGTTCGTTCCAGTGGTCAGATGTATTTATCATAGAGTCCAGAGAAAATGAAAAAAAAAAATTAAAAACATTCATCCTTGTTCAGATTTCGCTCGTGTGAACATCCATATGCAGCACAAAAGTCCGAAAATCTACGAATTCGACGTACAGGCAGGGATAGCAGCGTTACCTACTTCCTATGACAAGACCCCTGTTGCAAGATGGCGGCGGTTTTTTGATGCATGTTTAGAACCCCAAGGCGACATCTAGGGTAAATATCTATGACCTAAACTGACAGATTATACAGTAGCTGTGTGCTTTGAACTTTACAGATGAAGTTTATATTTAAGTAAAGCCTATTTTAAGCCTTTTAGTGGTATAAATTCAATTTTGATCCGTAACTCATCCTGCACGTTTGTGCTACAGATGAGTGATACCTCAAATCACTCTCTTTGTTCTAGAGAGAGGTATTGTTACGTTTCTAAGTGATTAAATTACGGCTTTTGTCCTAGTGGACTAAAACAGGATGAAAAAGAGCCAGTTGCATAGCAACACCCTGGCAACCACTAGAACACCCTAGAATAGTTGAGGCAAGATAAGAACCACTCACATTTTCTACAGAAAATGTAAAAATGAGTATTATCATAAATAAATACATATATAAAAATATAAACAAATTAATTAGAAGTAAATAATTATATTACATATTAGAAATAATTAGTATTATTAGTATTATCATAAATAAATACATAAAATATAAACAAATTAATTAGAAGTAAATAATTATATTACATATTAGAAATAATTATTATTATTATTTTTATATATATACTTTTATTTACTAAAATTTGAAGGCAAAACTGTGAAATTGTCCCAAATTACTGAATATATACAATATACTGCATGATCATAAACTTTGTCATAATCTTGTCATGTGAGTAACTATGAATGGATGAAGATAGCATTTGTGTGACTGAATCTTTCCACTAACACAGTCAAACACATGTTATTGTGTATATGAATTAACAGATTTGTATCTTTCTAAATGGTGCATGATTTAATTCAAAAGCATGGTGCCAAAATGTATTTGAACACTTTAGCTTCACTAAAAATATTTGAATGTCACTGCATTAGACAACAAAATCTGCAAACAAAAAAAATCCTAATTTTCCCAGAACTCTCCTTCTTTTTGTAATTGCTTGTAATCAACTGGTCCCAAGATGAAGGGATGTATGAAATCAGTTCCCTTCAAGTTCATGGGTGTAGTTCATCACATTAGCTGTGGACTTGATACAGACCCTTTCACAACCAGACAAAAGTGTCATACTGTTTCACTTCATTTTGAACAGCATATCTATAGTTGTATCATAATAAACCAAGTTATCTTGTCATATAGCCTATTTTGATTAAAAGGTGCTCTAGTAGATCTTCCAAGAAAAACAACATGGATTTAGAGACTGTGTTATGTAATGCTATGACATTCAGACATTTTAGGTGTGGCAAAGTGTGCAAATACTTGCAGGCCAACAAGAACTATAATAACTATGCATAATAAACATATGAAAAGCAGTAAAACACATCATAACTATTTTTTTCTAACTAATTAAGTATAGGCTATTACACCACTAATAGTTGGATTTGGTATTTTATAATACACAATTTCTTTCTGAAATAAATGTATATAAGACAATTATAACAACAACGATGCACTAACAACACTGCAGCTGTACCGTAGTGCAGCCGAATGAGGGTGCAATGCTGCTTGTATTTCTGCGGTCCACCTTAAGAGCGGCTCCTATATTTATGATTTCCTGAAGACTCTTCCAACCAATCACAAAGCGTCCAGCTTACCTGCCTATCGCTCTAACGCTTCTGGTTGGTCGACGCTCAGAACTGGCAGCCAGTCAGCTCCCTACAAGCGCTGTGTGGAGCCACTAGAGAATGACAGGTCGAAAAAAACAAAAAAGGAAGAAGGAAAATTTGTTCAGCTCACGCCATTGCATTCGCCGTGTTGAGGATGAAAACTTTCGGAAACTTTTCGCTTTCATGTGAACCTGCTATTGGTGTAAAGAACTGCCGCTGACAGGAATTACATCTGGACGGGAAATATTCGCCTCTTGTTTATGTACATGTGAGAGGATTTACCTGAATAACTCACTCTTTCATCGAGTTAAAGGAAACTACGGGGATTTTACATGCTAGTCATATTTTAAACACTTCTCAGATAGCCTACACCAGACAACCATGTCGGGGGGTATCGGTATCTATGCGGCCAAGAAACGGAAGAAGCCCGTTCAGAAAATGTAAGTCTTTGTGGGGACTCTCATGTTCAAGTTCAAAGCGCGCTCGCGTCCCGTGCATCAAGGTTATTGATACAATAGCAATAATTCGAGAGGCTGTGTAATGTTTCACTATAACATTTTGACAATTGTGTCCTATTTCGCAAATTCTAGTTATATAATATCTTTAAAAAGTGTAATAATAGAAATGGTGTGTGTGTATATATATATATATATATATATATATATATATATATATATATATATATATATATATATATATATCGCCTATGTCTGTTTGTTTGTTGTTTGTTTGTTTGTGTGTGTGTATGGTCTAAAAAATAGCCTTTTTTCATCTCCCTGAGGTGATTTCAAACTTTTCAACGAATCTCAGTACAGTTTCATTTACTGTAAAAACAAGAAACAAACATTACATTTCTGCTTAATAACATAAACGTGGTGTCAAAGTCACAACTAGTTTGTTTACTGCCACTTTGAATTGTAGACTTTGGAGTCATAAAATGGAGTAGAAATGACAATTATTGCGCAAAATTGTGATGGCTGTACCAAGTTGTTGTATAATGATGAAAACTTCTTGCATCGCAAACCAAAGCGTGTCTGAAATAGTTCTGTATGGGTCGGGACACCTTAAGATTCGGGCTTGGTGTGTGTAGTTCTGAGTCTGGCATGGAAATAGTACTCTTGTATTAATCATAATCAAGTTGAGAGTTGGCGGCGCTCTCACGCGATGCTTACACGAGGGAGGGGTGAGCCGGGGGGAGTATGTTATTGTAATCTGATATAGTCTTTTTTCACATCATGAGAACACAGATTTTTTTCTTTTTTCCTTTTTGCTTTTTCTTCGCTCGCTCCCCCTCCTCAAATTAACATATTTTTAAGTCACGCAAACTCTTACGCAACTGTGGTAGAACTGGCTGGAAATCCAAAGCATGCCTTTGAGCTCTTGAAGGAGCTTGCAGATGCTTTAATTTCATGATTTTGCAGATAGTTTGATCTGACGAAAATGGAATTGTCTTCAACAATGACTTCTAATTTAGTTCTGTGCTTTGTTTCAGGGTATATCCCTTCATTGACAATAACTTTCCTTTTCTATATCTAGAGCTTTCTGTCTTTACAGTGTCCATGCTACACATATCACATGCAAATGGATTACAATACCAGTGTTGCTAACAAAATGTGTTTACAAGAATATCCACACACAAAAAAATTCACATTAAGTACACTTTAAAAAAAGTGATCATTTGACTTAAACGAATAGTTCACCCAAAAATGAAAATTAGCCCATGATTTACTCGCCCTGAAGCCATAGGTGTGCATTACATTCTTCTTTCAGACGAATACAATCGGAGTTATATTTAAAAAAAAAATGTCCTAGCTCTTCCTAGCTTTATACACTCAAAAACAATTGCTGGGTTGTTTTAACCCAACTTTGGGTCAAATATGCACAACCCCAGCCATTGTGTTAATTTTTTGGGGGTTAAAACGTTTGGGTTTGTCCATATTTGACCCAAAATTGTGTTAAAACAACCCAGCATTTTTAGAGCGTAATGCAAGTGAATGGCTGTTTGACTTTGGGAGTACATTAAAGCACATCTATTCATGGTTAAAGTGCTAGACACAAATCTGTGGGGGTTAATAAAGGCCTTCGGAAGTGAAGTGATGCGTTTGTGTAAGAAAAATATCCATATGTAAAACTTTATCGACTAAAATAATTAGCTCCCGGCAGACTAAGTTATCCCTTTAACTTAACTTTCCTCAAACTTAAATTGAGGAAACCTGTTGCTATAAATAAAGTTCATACGTAATTGAAATTCTTTCTATTTATTACGCAGTTTATTACCAGTCTTATTAATAAGTCTTATTACTAACTAGTTAAATCAAGCATGTTATTAAATATTAGTTGTAACCAATGTTTTTTTTTTTTTTTTGTGACTAATTTAGACGGAAAGGTGGCCACTGGCTGATATAATGTTAAAATGCATTTGAAAGTAGATCGATAATTGGTTTTGAGCTTAAAAAAAATGGTTTTGCTTAATTCGTTCATCAATATCAGGGTACAAATAAGCAGTTGTTGCACATTTTGTACATTTGAGTTTTCATTAATATCACAATAACTAGTAATATTTTTTGTATTTTTCATTAAAATATCTATAATTCTCGATAATTTATGTTGTTTTATTATTAATAATATTCTTATTATTATTATTATGTAAAAATTGAATTAAAAATAGTTCTGCATATGTTTAAACAATTTCGATATTGCTCTAAAAAATTAAAATTGGCCAATGTCACCATGACCATACAAATTCAATTTACTGACCACAGAGATGTACGCAAAATAGTCAAAACAAACCCTTATTTTACGCAATGTTTACACAAAATTCACAATGCTGTGTGTTGGTCACACTAATAAAAGTGTCCGCTCAGGTCAGAGAGGCACTTTAAAGTAACAACATTTTTACAGTATACTAAAGTATTCTGTTACATGAACACTAATGTAAGGTGTGACTGTTTTTCTCAAGCTGTTTTGTTATTGGTTTAACTGCGTCTAACTGATTTATATCACTTAAGTTGATGGACAGGAGGGATTTGTGTGAGAATTTATGCTTGTTGATGTGCACCCAATGTACTTGGCCCGCAAACACGCGCATTAAGCCTAGTTCACACTACATGATTTTAAAATGTTGGGCTGAACTGTGCAGTTCACATTACATGACTTGCTCTCAGTGAAATCATGAGTGTTCAAGTTGTTTAGCTGTTCACACCACACAACACAACGTGATTGATCCACAACAGGAGGTAACTCACTACACGAGTTAACAACGCACTACATAGAGATACAACCACGATCGGATGATAAGAGCATATCATTTGTGACTCAATGAGAGCTGTTTCAGTACTATAGTACGGTCTAAATCCTGAAAATAATCAAACAAATAACGAGTTGACAACAACACGATTCTATCTGGTCTAGAAACCATGTTTTGTAACGAAAAACCACGCAATAAAACGAACCAGAAATGACGCGAAACTGCAGAGAAGAACACAACACGCGAATATGGACGTCAGACAGAAACTAGAGCTGCACACTGTTTGCTCGACGATCTGCTCTGAGAAAAAAAAATGCAAAAAAGAAAAAGTAAGATTTACCTGGTGTCCTCAACCCATGCGTTGCTATGATTGGCTGTACTCATGACATCACTGAGATTGAGTCGCGCGACTGCTCGAGATATCTAGCAGGCTAGATATTTTTCTGAGCTCGGTGACCTGTCTGCGAGCTGTCTGCGAGCTGTCTTTGATGCGTTGTTGGCTCTTTCACACTAACGGATTGGCGAGCGTTAATCGTCCGCTAATCGCCCGCGATTTGCACGCGATAACACCCTGACTTGTCGGCGACTCAACGATTTGCAAATCGGGCTTAAATCGGGCTTAAAATCACGTAGTGTGAACTAGGCTTTAGAAGGCAGTGGCGCAGAGCCCCATACCTGTTGACAGCACCATCAAGCCCACCCACCGGGATATGTGTTTATTACGGCCATCTTTGGCGCAGGGGATGGATGACCTTTGCATGCCATGTCCACACTTCAGAATAGCTGCTTACTGGAGCTGGAACTGCAGTGTGTGTTTTAGCTTGCTGATAGACGTTAAAACAAGCCAGTAGGGTGGCGAGGCGCTGGAGCGACCAAAGACTGCATCTGACACAAAGAAGGTATTGAGAGGGGGTGTAACCAGACTCCTAGCTTCACACCGCCGTTGCTGGGAGTTGGAATGCTGTAGGACAGTAGAGCCTCGCTCTCTCTTTCTCTCTCCCTAAAGAATCTTGTCAAGATTTCCTCACTTCTAATCTATGCGAAAACAAAAAACATAGGCGCAAGTAATGAACCGGCTAACCTCACCCTTCTGCTGAAAACTTGCAGTTGGATCTTCAGCTGGAAGTTTTCAGCATCTCACGGCAGGTTGAAATTGAAATCCTTCGGAAAAGTTATGCAGCCTGGCCCCAAAATCTTCTAGTCTAAACCTAACACTTTAATATAAAAAACTCAAGAGCAAGAGCAACTCGCTAACCTCACCCTACTTCTTTAAGCTTCTCGCGGCGCATTAAGAAAGTCAGCATGGCATTGAAATTGTAAAGTTATGCAGCAAAGTACTGGCATCTAACAAATTGGAAGTTCCTTCAAGTTTAAAATGCGAGGTGATTTGACCTGATTTTTGTGTTAATACGCAGATGGACCATATTACGCACCACTGACTTTCATTGTTTGGACAAACATTCTTCAAAATATCTTCTTTTTTAGCTATTCCATTATAGTGTTTTAAAGGAGTAGTTTTAAAAAAAACTTTTGCTGATAATTTACTCACCCCCATGTCATCCAAGATGTCCATGTCATTCTTTTTTCAGTTGAAAAGAAATGAAGGTTTTTTATGAAAACATTAAGGATTTTCTCCATATAATGGACTTCAATGGGAACCAAACGGTTCAAGGTCCAAAAGACAGTTTCGGTGCAAACTGTTCAAAGGGCTTTAAATGATTTCAGATGATGAATAAGGGTCTTATCAAGCGAAACGATCGCTCATTTAATTAATAAATAACAAAGTTTAAGCTTTATAAGCTCAAAGGCGAAAATTTGAGCTTATAAAACTTAAACTTTGTTTTTAAATGAGTGGTCGTTTCGCTTGATAAGACCCTTATTCATCGTCTGGAATCGTTTAAAGCCTTTTGAACAGTTTGCAGTTTGCACTGAAACTGTCTTTTGGACCTTGAACCGTTTGGTTCCCATTGAAGTTCATTATATGGAGAAAATCCTGGAATGTTTTCATCAAAAACCTTAATTTCTTTTCGACTGAAGAAAGAAAGACATGGACATCTTGGATGACATGGGGGTGAGTAAATTATCAGTAAAAGTTTTTTTTAAAAAGTGAACTACTCCTTTAATTGCCCAAATATTGTAGTTGAATTTATTGGCTTGAGCACAACCCGTTTAAAAAACGGGCCTAAACTCTGG